TGATTAATGTTTTACATCAAATTGTGGAAGTGATAGAATTTAGCAGACCGTATTTTGATGAAGTTGTTAAAGAAACAAACAATAAACCAGACAAAAAACAATTTGGTATTACATATGCTGTAGAGAAATTGTGGAAGTGGTACTGACTTGAAATGTTCTCTCGTTTTCTGGAACGTGTGATACAATTTTTTTACTGCAGTTTGTGTTTCAAGTCTTTGTTCTGTTGACTCAATCGTCTGTGAACAGCATCTACAGGAACAATTCTTGGAACAAGATATAAGTACAAAGGCATTCATTATGCCAGGTCTATGAGAAACATAGTACAGTTGTTCAATGATATCTTGTCATATTACTCATTTAGAAATACTGCCACTGCAACTCTGATGATGACGTTGTTTCCTCCTACTTCATAAAACATGCAAAATACTTGCAGGCACAGTAGAGCAGCTACTCAGCCAAAAGTACAACTGAAAAACCTGCAATCAGTAAAATAATATTTAATGGTAAGGCTCTCAACGGTCTAATTTAAACATAAATCAAACAAATCTCATAACAGTGCCTTTAACAAATAATGCCAAGCATAAAAGGAAACAATCATTCAATGTTAAACAGGTTGCATCAAAATAAACAATCCTGAGTTATTAAATCAAAACTTCCTGAGAACATGGCTGTTTTGTTCTGGTGCTTGTTTCTTAAATGTCATATTAGATTTGTTGTGTTGATGCATTTTGACATGCTTCCACCCCAAATTTTCCGCCGCAACTTGCAAACTTCCCCATTCATTCTGAGCATTAAAGTTCCACCTGGCCTTGCTTAGAATTTGTTGCCACACACTTGCACAATGAGAAGGAAAGAAGAGACGAGCTGCACATGCAGGCTGCAAAGTGAGACACAGGTGATCGGTTTTGGTGATAGGCAATAAGAGACAGTGACTGGTGATCAATGATCATACAATTATCACGGAAATCGGCCGATTTTGATCAATGACCGATCGATCGGCACACCTCTATTCAAAATAAATAGTAAGTGATCTTTACAGATCCCTACAGATGGTCCATGCTTATAGGTTGCATAATAATTTAACCCTCTGATGCATGAATTATGAATCCTTGGGTCAAGATTTTTTTGAAATGTGTTTTTACTCTTCTTAAGTAAATACCTAAAGAAATAAATTGGTTCTCTTTCATCAACATTTACTCTTCTTTCTCCTAGAAAAGGTGACAAGTCTCCATCAAAGTTATTGTCTTAGACTTTACAGAGATATTTGCAGGGTTGAGTGCAGGCATTGCCCTTGTGAACTTTTCTCAGAGCATGTACCATGTGGACATTTTCCTCAGCTCCCTCATCTTGCTGACCTTCTGCATCCTGTCCTTCATCATCCTGGCCCTCATCATCTCTACTTTCAGCCTCCTGATTATCTGCATCTCCTTCATCATCTATATCTCCAATATCTATAGTATTCCCTGGTGATGAGGAGCAGTCACTCCCCATCACTGCTGTCATTACACTTGTCATCAGAGGAAATTTCCTCGACTATTCTGTAGTGACCCTTATTCTTTTCTGCACTTGTGCTCAAAAAGTTTGAGAAAATTATCATTTACTAACACAAACTACAATTGATCTGCATAAAAAATATATATTTTTAAAACTAACATAGATATAATCAAAATGAATTTAATTGCAAGCAAACCAGTGATAATGAAAAATAAATCAACTACATGACTTATGTGAAAAAATATAGTCAGCAATGCATGATGTCCACTGTGATGGACACATGATTAATCACAATTTTCTACTTACATGAAACAAAATTTTCCAAACTAAGTTTATAATATTGTTACCTAGATACTCTTGCATGTCAGCATAATTTTTTGTACCTCTAGAATTCTCTGAGAATAGAAGGTTTGAGAGGATATTCCTGGAGTGGTCATCAAGTGTGTCTGTCTGCCGGCCAACTTGGACTCTGATGACATTAACTTGTAGTTACAACACATTGCCACTGAATTGACCTCATTGGAGGGGGGCAGTAGAGAGCATTCTAAGGACTGATATGCAATTCCACCATAGAAACAACTGCATTTAGAAAACAATGCCTTCTAAACAGCTGTCCACTGTAGTGGCCGCTTTGCACCAGAGAGTTAATATAATCCAATCAATGGAACATTATAATATTATGGCATCCACATTAACTCTCTGAAACAGCATCTCATCCATGGAGAGGGGGACTGCTGTTGCAACTATCCATAATGCTGTCATCCTACCTTTCTGTTCTCTGGAAAACAGCACAGGAATCTGCTTTTAAATTTAAGGCAAGGACAGGTCCTACAACAGTGAGGGTCCTGAAGTGAAGGTTTATTTGAGAGTTAAATAATTGCTTGACTTAAGAAATCTTCTCCAAATAATTAAGTTAACTAAGTAAAGTAAGTAATTCAGTAAAAAGCTCTTCACATGTTTTTATATATCTGTTTACATCAGAGATAAATCTTTTTCAAATGTGTAATACTATATAGAGAGTTAATATGCACATCAACATCCAAACTAGAATCAATGCTGCATCCGATCAAACAAAAGAAAATGACCAAATTCCAACTCAATCATAAAAACTTAGAAGAAATTATACATAATTTAAGCTCCTCCTCCTGTCTTGATAGCCTCCACAGATTGCTTTCCTAAGCAAAGTTCTGCCTGTCAATACAAGATTGCCCTGAAGTTGCACCAGCTCCTTTTTGGTTTTAGTCTGCAGATGAAAGTGTTACCTTAGATGGCAGGGTAACAGTGCCATCTGCAGGACTAGAGTACAAAGGTCTCAGAAAGATCTAGAAACTCCATCCATGCATTTATCTTTATTCACATTGATTGCTGCAACGGTGTTTTCACAGATTTGCCTACAAAAATTAATCAGACAGCTGCTCACATTCAGTCTATACTTTAAAATACTGATTTATAAATCATCAACTAGCTTAACACCAACATGCATTAAAGATCTGCTGTTGTTGTATCAAACTTCCGGCCCTCTCAGGTCGTCTGGTTTTGGTCTGTTCCACATGGCCAGAATCAGATCCAAACATCGAGAAGCATGTTGTAAGAAAAAACATCAGTTCAATGAAGGCTGATAGATTTATTTTAAGAAACAATGTGTCTCTCATTGATTGGTCAGATCACTTCCATCCATCCATTTTCCTTTCTTTCTTTCAGCTCTGAGACCAATCCAGAACTATGACGTGACGCTTTTCATCCTTCCAACTACAATCATCAACACACGTCTGTGGAGAATGAGACAAAAAGGATGATATATTTACTTCATTTCCATGACCGACAGTTGGTGTTGAAAGTATATCTGTACTTTATATTAACAGCTTCCTGCTCCGTCTTTACCTTTTCTTCTTCATTACCAACAACAGACAGTTCTGAACTCTTCCCTCTGCAGTATTCTCGTGCTTCTTCAGGTTTTCTGAATCCCAGGTTCAGGATTATGAACTACATAGCAGCTGGACAGAGAGTGAATCCAGCCTCACTGAAACAACAGAGATCAACTAATAAATATTTGGACTGGCCAATATAATGGTAAATAAAACTAATCTTTTACCATAAGGACATCTTACAGTATTCATCAATGATCTGTAAAGCTTGACTGAGTTTCTGCCCCTTCCAAGTTTTTATATCTTCTCTGATGGTTTTCATCTTTCCTGCAAGTCGTTTTGTTGTTTCAGGTTTTGAACCTGGATGTTGAATTGTGAACTTTTCTTTTGCAGCCGGTGGAGTTTTGAACCATGGCTTTGAAATCAGAGTAGAGTTTGTTTTTGAGGTTTGTCATATTGTAAATTTCATATAGCAGGAAAGTTTGGTTGTCTGTTAGTTGTTTTAGCTCATATTTATCTCTCTTGTCAAGAGATATAACTGCAACACATCAACATGTTATTGTTGTGAAATAAAGAAAAAAAGAGTCTATATTTTTAATGTGGATATGAAGTGGGATCACAACCAACAAAATAATTCAATAAGCTCCAAGAGGTGGGAAAAGCTGTGAGATGGAAGAAATGTGTGACCTTTTGACATAGTAGTTACAGACATTTTGTGCTTAATATTTTTTAACTTGAATTGTTTCAATATTATACCTGGAGCAGCTCTTATGTTCTTCTCAATGCCCAGTCCTTCATCATCACAGTCAGATTCTTCAATTTCCTCTGAAAGAAAAAATCTAAACTACGGTTTCTACATGCTGATGATTACCTTCAACAGATGAGAATCAAAATGGTATTTTCACTTTCAATTATACTAACTTTTGTTAAAATGTTGTTCAAATTATCTGTTCAACTATGTGGATTCAATATGTAACTATTGCTTTTCTATATTTGAGGGTCTTAATCAGTTCATCAAAAAAACAATCATGGTTTTATATCTTGTAATTCTTCTATTTCACTCTGGTATAATTAACTTAAACATATTAAAAGAACAAGCATGAAGTAACACAATAAAATGAATACAATTAACTGAATACAAAAACCTTCTGATAGTCCGTCTTACCGGCAGATAAAGAAACTTGTGGGTTACATCCAGACTTTGTTCTCTTCTCTCCATTTTGTAAAAGTTTCAACATCAGATGAAGACTGAAGAGGAACTGTTAATGAGAACAGAGTGCTGACTTTATAGTCTTAAATGTGCCTTTTAGTTCTGCTTTTTGATGTATGAAACATATTTGGTGTCCAACGTCTTCTCATAGAGTTCACTTCTTCTCGACAGGAACTTCTCCAAATAAATAATATTCTGTTGATACAATTAAAAAAGCATAAGCTTAACTAAAAAAATGAGATTCTAGACAATATAAAGTTTCTTATATAAGTTCCAAGTGGACCATGAATAAACGTCTTCTTTAAAATCAATTAAGTTTTTTAATTTGTTTCTAACATCTGGTAACATTGGGTGTGTCTTCTACAGAACTGCAGCTAACCTATATAATAAATAAAACATTCAGCAAGTCCTGAAATCATTTCTTTGTTTATTTTATTTTTTTCTTATCTTTGTTGAGTCAGTTTGTTTTTGAAGATAAATTGTTGCCTCAGTCTGAGTGTCTGAGCAAAGAGGAGCAGGTTTTCTAAATTAATCACTAATCATTTAGCATTTGATGCTTCATGTCTCTGAGTGGTTTATCTTTGGTAGAGTTACTGTAACAGAACACATCTCCATTTTCTGACAAACATTCATACTGACAGTTTCACAGAACATTGATAGCTCTGAAAATGTTAAAACTCCACCCTGAAAAACAAAAATCACATAAAAATCCACAACCTTCAAGTATAAAATGATCTGTAATTGTTGACTCATTGCTGCTCTGAGAAAAGGAAACTAGATTAGATTAGTTTTATTCACAATTACAATGTTGAAACAATCACATCCGTCTCAACTTTTAACATTACAGCGCCTCTATATTTAAAAACATTCAGGTTCATGTTATGAATTTGAACATGAAAACTTTAATAGGCCCAGAAAAAAACAGATGTGTTTTAGAATTGGTTGAATGTGTTTCTAAATTCTGGCAGCTTCAGATACTATTTATATATATTCAGTAAAGTCGGTGCATCCACTGAGAAACTTTACAGCTTAATTTATTCAAATTACTTTTAATAACTGACATGAAATTACATTTGCTGTAGATAATATGATGAATAATAAACTATAGATGTTTAGCTTTTGAAAAAAATAAAAAATAAAATGTTAATACATTTTCTTTCCATGTTTTTCAAATAATCTTGATATTTCATGTTTAAACAGATAAAGCCTTCTTCTCACAGATCCAGCCGTTTTTATCACTACAGCTCACTGATTTCCATTCTCGGTTCTGGAGGGAAGTTACACATTGACCTTCGGTTGCAGGTTGTTGTATCCTGGCTCTAAGGAAAAACATCAGTTAGATCAAGGCTGATACATATATATATATTTTTTTACACAGTTTAACAGATGATGTGTCTCTCACCGATTGGTCAGATCATTTCCATTCATCCATTTCCATTTCCGTCCTTCAACTCTGAGACCAATCCAGAACCCTTTCATTTTACCCTCGTTATCCTTCCAGCTATTCTTATCAACAAACATCTGTGGAGAATGAGACAAAAAGGATTATATATTTCCTTCATTTCCAGTTGGTGTTGAAAATATATATGTGATTTATATAAAGAGTTTCTGGCTCTGTCTTTACCTTTTCTTTTTCATTTCCAACAACAGTCAGATCTGAACTCTTCCCTCTGCAGTTTTCTCGCGCTTCTTCCCAGGTTTTGTGATACCTCGGTTCAGGATTATGAACTATATAACAGCTGGACTGAGAGTGAATCCAGCCTTTTGGACAAGACCTACACCGTCTCACTGAAACAACAAAGATCAACTAATAAATATTTGGACTGATCAGTATAATTATAATTAGGTATAATCTTTTACCATTAGAATATCTGAACATACCGTTGTTTTCTTTGGGACAGTATTCATCAATGATCTGCAGAGCTTGGCTGAGTTTCTGCTCTTTACAAGTTTTTATGTTTTCTGTGAGAATTTTCACGTTTGTCTGCAAGTCGTGGTTGATCTTTTTAACTTGACTGTTTTCTGCTATCAGGTTGATTTGTTGTTGTGTCAAATTTTGAACCTGGATGACAAATTCTAAACTTTTGTTTTTGCAACTTGTGAAGTTTTGAGCCAGGCTTTTGAAATCAGAACTGATTTTGTTGTTCAGGTTTGTCATGTTGTAAATTTCATCTCGCAGGAAAGTTTGATTGTCTTTCAGTTGTTTCAGCTCAGATTTATCTCTCTTGTCAAGAGATACAACTGCAAAACATCAACATATTCAAGGTAGTGATAAAACAGAATAAATGCATCGGCAAGATATATAGATATGTAAAGAACAAAATCTTATGTAACAAAAACAACAGAAACTTTTTCAGTTTTAATTGGTTTGAATTATTTCAACTTCTATTTTCCATTACTTTACATTTACATTTTAAATGTTCTTCCATATTCTCCATGGAAGTAAACATCACAAGTTTCTAATATCTTCTTGTCTCAGTCTTAAAAAATGTTCTTTACATACTTACAGTAGACACTGACTCCAATAATGGTCATCACCATAATCACACATAGACTCCCAAAACAATAAACCAACTTCTGATACAACCAACAACTTTTTGCTTCTTTGTCTGACAAAGGTCCTGTAGAAACTAAACAGAACATATAAGACACATTTTTATTTGGACAAAACTGCAGCAAGTTAAACCTTGTTTGTTTGCATTGTTTTATGTAGATACCTTTTCATTTTAAAATGTTAGAAAAATATTGTCATCATTTAGCAAAGAAAGATGGAGGAGAAAATAGTTTTATTTTTCACATAGTGAGTCTTAAAGCCTGTGAAACAAACATAATAAACAGATTACTGGGGTGGATTGCTACTATTATAGGCAACGTTAGCAAATAAATATACATGCTTTTTGATCCTGACTCTGGTTTAAAACTGTTTTGCAATAATGTTTGCTTGCATGCACTGATTCCCTTTTTGGTTTGAATAATTTGTTACAGATTCATATATTTGGTCAATCAAATCCTTGTAATCCAAATGAACACATGAGGTGAATGAGTGAGATTTCGGCTGAGTAGTAAACAGCACATCAACTGATTATCCTGAACTAAAACTTGCTCATTTTACTGGTGATGTTAAAGTTAACTGAGCCTTTTGGAGAAGATTTTATACACGCAATGATTATTTTAGCATTTGATTAGTTTTTTCAATTGCTTAACATTTGTGTCAGATTTTTGTTGAGACAATTTATTTGGTTTCTTCATTTTACTGTGCAATACTTCATCCTCTTTTTTAGCTAAAAGAATAGAATCTAATGTTTATTTGTTTCACAATACATTCTTGAAAGGATTTAAATTAATTATTTAATGATCATATTTGCTTGAAACTGAAAGTATCTGTCAGGGTCTTTTCTTCCGCCAGTTTACTGTAAGTGTAACAGACTGAGGAAAGTTAAAGACATAGAGCTGAACGTTAGTGAAAAAGGGAAATTGTCTTTCACAGGAAATAAAGCAAGACATTTCTGATGTTCCACTTTATCACAATTCAAGACACTAATACCATCTGCAACCTACACAGATGGTAAAAGTTGAAAGAATTAATAATTTTACATTCATGTTTATAGTTAATATATAGTCTTTATTGTTCAGAAATGATGTTATCGTAATGAGTGCCACTGCAAGGCTGAAGATACATCTTTGTTTTTTATCTGTGCATGTTTTCTAAAATCTTTTTCTCTAAAAACAATAATAATTGAAAGGTTAAAATGCTCACTCGTTTCATCTGAACTGAAACTTGCAACATTTAAGGAATGCTAGAGCTAACTGAGTCTGTTGTAGCTGAGTTGATGCATGCAAAATTTTATTGTTGGATTCACTTTTTTTTTTTCATTTACTTACCCTTTGTGACAGTCATTTCCCGAGCTGCTTGGCTTGGTTTCACTTCATCATACACAACATCGTCTTCTTTTTTAGCTGAAAAGGTTCAAATGTTTGTAACATGATTAAATTTTGAAATTTAATCAATTGTGTAATATTTTGGTTGAACCTCAAAACCTATCTCTAGACGGGAAGACAAGTTAAAATATCAGCAAACTGACACAGACCTGATCTTTCATAAAAAAAGAAAAGTCTCTCAGTAAATAAAATAAAAAACAATCTGATGCTGCACTTTATCACCTTCTGCACACAGAGTAGGACTCTTTGACCTTTCCTTTTTGCACAGCCTTACATCAGACATCTCCTGTTTACAGTTACACTAATACAGTTACATCCAGGTGGTGAGACTGTTTTTTGTTCAGCTCAGTAAGTGAAGCATTCACACCCATCACATCACAAACCACAGAGTGCTGCAAGAGCTACCCACAGCTCTTGAAATGGGTGGATACGCTCTGAGGGTTCTGGGAGAATCTGAGTCAGATCTCGAGTTTTCTGTGTTGCCAAGAATTGATAAAATTAAGCAAATTTCACAGTCACCATGTGCACATTTTCTGTGAAACATCCTGTGCAATGAGTTTATCGAACAGGCAGGCCACTGTGTCTGAAAAGAAAAAAAAAAACAAAAGAAAAACTGCTCTATGACCCAGTTGAATACATGTCTGATGTATTTTTTTAAATGGACATCAGCCATGATTCTGTTTGGTGAATAACCTGCTCTATGTTTGAGGTTTGGGTCACTTCTTTGGATATATTTGACACCCAGGGGGTCCTGGCTGCTCTCATTTACTCTCCTCTCTTGCGCCTCCTAGGTTTTCTGTTGGATTTCGGCCTGAAAATTTAAATGATCATGGAAGAGAGGTGGCTTCAGACCTGGTGAACTAGGCCGTGTTGGTTTAATCGCTTGATTTTGATAGATTTTTTAGAACCCTTTTCATTTAAAATATCTCAATATTCCAAATACCTGATTTTTCTGAGCTTTCTGTTGTTTTCCCAGCTGATAACAAGTCCCCCACCTGCCTTTATTGGGTATTAGGTTCTTTCCCATGTATTCACCCATTTTTTATTATTTTTTGCACCAGACTAACCTAAACAGTTTGGCTTCACTTATTCAACTAAACCAGTTCTAGTTAAAGCCCAGGCAATGTTTAACAATTTTCATCCATTTATATTTGACATGGTACAACAGAAAACATGTCTTCTAAGCAATGTTGACATGCAGATAGTTGCTAATGTTTGCTGTGTCGTCACCCAGGATGCCCCACTTTGATTCAGTCATCATCTGGTTTTGTTTGTCAGTTTCTCTTACTTTAAACTATTTCACAAAAGTTGTAAATATAGATAAGCTTAGGAGGAAAGTTATGTTTTTAATATTTCCTTACCTGTAAGGATTAACACATGAATGTCACATTCATTTATCTTTCCTATGTTATGAGAAACGAGTCTCTGTGTCTCAGTTTGTGCTGCAGTGTGGATTCAATAAACTCAGATCCAGTTTTGAATCACATGTTGCTTCTCTTATTTATTTTCTGTTCCCCAGGTTGCAGTTATTTTAATGTGTTTCTACTTTTTCTATTTTTTGTCCTTAAAACTTATTAGTTACAAAACATTTTTGATAGATGAGGATAATTTTAATTCTTTTGCCGCATGTATTACTTTATGTAAAAAATAAATAAATAAAAATAATCCAGTTACCTGTTTAATTTTTTTCTTTTCCTAGTAAATGAACCAACTCTAAAAGTAGAGGTTTAATTACATTTTCAACCATAATCAGCATCTAATAAGATTTTCTGGTTCTTTTTTTTTACACAATGTGTTAAAACCTTAAGTAGATTCTTAATTAAATGTTAGAAACAATTACAATTTAAGTGATTGTATCTAAAAAAAATCTCCTAATTTGGAGGAACCACATTTTTACTTGATAATTTATCAATCAGCAAAATTATTTGACTACACACACAACAGTGATTATAATCATAAACAGTAACATGTCAGTAAAAGGATTATTAAAAAAACATAAACATAAAACGCACCTATTGCCAATCCCTTGTTTTTGAAAACAACAGAGGCGTACTGGACTTCGTAGTCTGCCATCTCTACAGTCTCGATGTTAAAGTTCTTTGTCAGTGAGAGGAAAGTAAACCAGGAGCAAAAGAGCAGTATTTATAAGTATTTATAGATATTTCCTGTCACAAGTCTTTCAAAAGCTCCCACAATTATGAACTTCTGCTTTTTGAAGTCATTTGCATTAATCACTCAAGTAGAAAAAAATATTAACACCATAAAGAGCTTAGTATCATGTAAAACATTCAGAATACACAATTCACTATATGAAATTGTGATACTGATAAATACATTTAATCTTTTGCAGTCTCAAAGGAGGAAGAGATTAATTACACTGTTCTTCATTTTTACAAAGTTTCACACATGAAGGTCACACCATCCCACAGTGACTGTTCTTTGTTGACCAAAACATGATCTTTGACTCTAACTTAAGATCGTCTGCAAATTAATTTGAGATTTTTAAAAATGCATAAATATTGTAGAAGAGGATATGTGTTTGTGACAGGTGTTTTCTCAAGTGATGAATCAGCATGCATAGACGAGAAATTAACTTAGATTGTTTAATGAGTATGTTCCTTGTGAAAACAAGACATTTTCTCTTCATAAAAATTGTGCCAAATGCAGAATTTTTTTTTGTTATTGAACTGAAATTTCAGTGTAAAGCAAGAATTATGCTTATAGTTAACTATAGTTATAGTTATGCTTATATTTGTAAGCAATCAAAAAAATCATGATTGCTTGATATTAGAACTTCCTATGTTAAAGAGAATTTCATTAAGTATTTTATATTTTCTGTCAAATCACACTCACTCATTAACTTGGTATCTTTCATGCTAAATCTTATTTTACTGCAGAAACAGTATAACTTTGTTTGCTACATTTGGTTTGATATTTTCCATATGCTGTTATTGTTTGTTGATGTAATTCCTTCGGTGAGAAAAACAGACTTGAAGCTTAGTATTTCCTCCTGTCGCAATGGAGAGTCATATTAGCTGTCTTTCATTGCTGAGGGCTTTTCATATTCTCCCACTTAACTTAGAGGCAACTTGACTCATAATTGAGTTACCTTGTTGGTATTTCTTGTTCTAAAAATCCTGAGCATCACAGAACCTGGAAGGTTTATATGGAGTAATTGCCTCTTATTCAGAATTTGATTATCCAGTTTACTGAAATGGGGCTCAGGAGGACAAACAAGAAATAAAAATAAGAGAAAAAATGTGTTCTCAAATGGGTTTTTGGTGTTAAAATTTAATTTTAGCGTTGTAATTATGACATCATTTGTATTTTCTTGGCAGAAAAACAAGAAGGTGGTGACATTTTAGAATCTCCCCAATTTGCAGGGGAATAACAATCTTGGTTTAGTTTGAGGAACAGCCACAATCTGTCAATTTTAAATTTAAGAAAATTGTCTGTAGCTCTTTGTAAGTAAATGAACATAAACAGACAACAATGTATCTCATACCAGACGGCCATGTTATCTGAAGAGGTTTTCTTTGCTGTTTACTTTGGAGTGAACATAGGAATGATGATTCTTTTTATGTAACCTCAGGGCAATATTTTTTGTGGCGCTTTAATGAGCAGGCTACATGAAAATATGAAGCAGAGTGAACTGTCAGTCTCATCACAGTTTCAGTCACAATAACAATGGTAAAACAAGTGTATGCATTTAGCAACATACATAATCACCTCAACATTTAAAAGTATATTATGATTTCATGGCCCCAGCCTTTTTATAAGAAGTAATGCAGCATCGTTTGGTGACCACAAATCATTAACTGTGACAAATTACTTGCAGAGCCAGGAAATACATCAGTCATCAGCCATTTTGTCATGAATGTAAATACTTTATGTGGCCCAGAAACAAAATGTAGAAAAGATTTTTAAAGATGTAATGTAAATATTGTGTCACGCTGAAGTGGCCCAAATTTGATTTTTATTAACTCATACAACCTTGTTTGCCTTTCTGACAGAAGATCAGATCAAAGCTGATAGGTTTGTTTTATACACAGTTTAAGAAATAATGTTCTGTCACTGATCGGCTGGATCACTTTCATCAACCTATTTTCATATCCTTTCTACAGCTCTGAGACAATCCAGTATACTTTACTGTCCTTCTTATTTTATTTCACTTAGACCATTAACAGTTTGTTCAAAATATATGTGTAATTGATATATAAGTTGTATTAGCAACAGCAAGATCTCCATGTTCTCTGCAGAATTCTTGTGCTTTTTTCTGGGTTCTTCGATTTCCAGACTCAGTATTATAAAATAGATAGCAATTGTTGTCAAAGTAAAACCATTAACTCTGACAAGGATCCCAGTGTCTCTCTGAAACAGCAGAGATCAACTAGGCTACTCCCACACTGCAGCCTGAAGTAACCCAAATCCAATTTTTTGTCAAATCGGATTTTTTGGTTATTCACATTTCCAAATATATGCGACTTGTATGTGATCTCCTGTGTGAAAAGCAAATGAACTGAAAGTGTTCTGCATGTGCAGTAGAGGGCGCAATAACGTCACAGACAGAGAGCATGCTCAGGGTTGCCAACCGCCATAAAAATAAAAAAAACTTCTGCTCAGTGTTTGCAGAAATAAAAGTGGATGATAATAGTGGAGTACATCTTGAAATTGTTAAATTGCTGTTTGACCAGATCCAGCATATTAGCAACTTAATCTGCGCTTTGTTTTTGTAATGTTTGCAAATTTGTAAAACAAAAATAAAATGAAAAGTCACAAAAAAATCATATATACCTATCAACGCTGGTCCAAACCGTGTCACGACCAATAAGGACCTCCATCATCTCCATCAGCTCTCCAGGCTCGCATCCTTCACCGACCTCCACCATTAGTGTCGGGTCCCGGGGGGATGACATTCCTAACCTACATCAGGATTTTATTGCAATTCACAGCTCGATGTCCTTAGCCTGGGCCTGAGCACCAAAGAACTTTAATTCATGCATAATAATAAACCTCCTTAATCGCTGTCTTTTTCTCCATCTGAGTCTCTCCAGATTGAAATCACATTTCTTAATATTGTGTTGAAACAGTTTTGGTAATTAGCACAGTCTTGAGTCTTCTTGTAGTGCACTACATTTTCTGTGCAGTTTTCAAAAACCTCAGAGTTGATAAATAAAACTTGTGCATGATGTTTACAAGATCATATATGGAAAAGGTCAAGATGTTTATCTTTGAATTTCTTTGAGCCCCTAAAAGTCTCCTTTTTGTACAAAGTACGAACTTTATACAAAGTATTCACTTTATACAAAAACAGTTTTTTCAGGATTCTTGTGATGACACTGACCGATGAAGTGAATATAATAATGATGACTGTCTTTATATTCCAGCAACAATATCAGACGTGGTGGAGCTTCAGTGAGCAGGTTACAAGAAAAAAATAAGCAGAATCAACTGCCACTATCATTAGTTTTATTCACAATAACAATGATAAATCAAGAACATAATACATCCCTTCAACATTCATTAATTATTTTATGATCCCTCTCTTTTTAAAAAGTAATGTAGCACCCCTGCTGGTCAAATATTATTAATACTGAACCAATTGTCTACTGAAACAAATAGTAGAAAAGTCTTTTAATGTTGTACAATGAATCAATATTTTGTGCCTTTTAAAAATTCTGCTCTCGTCCTCAGAGTAATGATTATTTTCAGTGAAGGTGGGATTCCCTCAGAGAGCAAATTTACAGCTTTAAATCTTTACTGCATAAAATGTTAGATCATTTTCTTGCTATGGGCAATAACAAACTATAGTTGTTTATCTTTAGTGAGAAAACAAGAAAAATTTTAATACATTTTTGAAATATCTTATGTTTAAACACCAACTTTTAAAGGTTTTTCCAATAACCTTTAAAAGTTTGAATATTTCATTTTAAACAGATAAAGCCTTTTTCTCACAGATGCAGCCATTTCTATCAGTACAACTCACTGATTTTCATTCTCGGTTCTGGAGAGAAGATACACATTGATCTTCAGTTACAGGCTTCTGTATCCAGGCTCTAAGGAAAACCATCAGTTAGATCAAGGCTGATATATTTGTTTTATACACAGTTTAAAAGATAATGTGTCTTTCACTAATTAGTCAGATCAACAGTCAGATCTGAACTCTTCCTCTGCAGTCTTCTTGTGCTTCTTCCCAGGTTTTCTGATTCTGAAGTTTAGCATCATTACCAGCTGGTCTGATCATGAAGCCAACTATCCTGACAAGAAAAAACACTTTCTCTAATAAACATTTGGTCTGACCAATATAGTGTATTTATTATTACAGCAAATATTTTACCACAGGAGATCTCAACATATCTTTATCTTTGGGACAGTATTGATCAATATTCCACTGAGCTCAACTGACATTCTGCTCATTCCAGGTTTTCCTTATGCTTTCAATTTGCTCCTTGAGGTTTTTTTTCTCTACCTGCAGCTCCCTGTTTATCTTTTTACTATAAACCATATAAACCATCTTTGCAGTGAAACATTTTTGTGTAACTGTTTTTTTAAATATTATTATTCGTCCCATGCCCCCTGCAATGGCACTGCAAAGAATAAGTAACAATTTCCCTTTAATTTCAAATATCTTTTATGCTCTGACAAATTAAAACTTCTACTGTTGTTAAACTAGAAAAATAATTTAGACTATTACTTGATCTGGATAAAAAAAGCATTAGGCCAAATAACGATGTCTTGTATTGGGAACATGTAAGGAAATCATAATTCAGTGAGTGGAGTCTCTGTAGTGCAAAAGGGCAAGTTAAGCAACTGCATCTAGAATATTGCTTCAAAAATTGTTTGAGCCAAAAGAGGAAGAGGTTTGTTACTTCATTCTCTTTTCTCACGAAGTTTTTACCATGTAAAAGTCACACCATCATTTCTGAATAATACAAAAAAAGTGGTTCTTTCTACATTGAAACATTTAAAAGAACTTAAAACCTGGGCCATAAGATCAAGAAACACAAATAAGAGTTCACTTTTATGAATTATTTTAATGACAGGAGTTTTTATTTTATGTAAAACATAAATAAAAACTGAATATGGATATTT